AATAAAATTAATAATTAATTAAACACTTTAATTAATTAATTAATTCTATTAATTCTAATAGTTACTCCACTATAAACTTGGAATTGCACTCTCGAAATTATAGATATTAATTACTTCTAAACTGTGAAGTGTCCATTTGATATAGTCATTGCATATAGATCAATCCTCCATAAATAATTCATAATTAGAGCAAGGTAAAATCCGTTAACCTCTCTAATTACTTCTTTATCCTTGAGTACTATTGATTCTCTAATGGACAGTGATTCATAAAACACATTCATGAATCGGAGCTCCTACTGGTCCAAGTACCAAATCAACCCTCAAGAGAATTATTTATCTACTTCTTTCTTAAGAAGGAACGGATTCCATCTCGTGTAATAACATTCCCAGTTACCTACTTCATCATGTCTCCAAAATACAAGGAATAGGATTCAGGATCTTAGAATTCATACCGAGTAAATCAAAAGACACAAATCCATAAATAGGAGTCTGTTAAGAACTCAGGATTAAGATCATTCTATATATGACCATCGATAGACTTAATTAGAATTTCTATACTTAACAAAAATTATTAGAAATTCATATTGTGTCTATGTCTTTGTTCCACATAATCTCATCATGCGAAATACACTCATTTAATATCTCACCATATTAATAGTGCGGATAACACCGTTTCATTCTAAATGGAAATGACATGTATTAATAATGTTTTAATTAAAGATTATGAACTTTAATTAAATTCATTATGAACATTACTTTTTGATTATTATCCTTAAATATTATCCTCTTGTATATAACACTTATATACAATGTTTAAGGTTACATAAATAATCATGGAATTTTTATTGATATTCATAAAATATTCATAAATATATGCACATAAAATAATGAATAAACTCTTTTATTAAATAAATAATAAATATCCTATTACATCTCATGCTTCTAGGACACCATTCCCAACATCTACAATAGACAACTTAAAATGTTTAGCTAAAGGAATTGTCACAGGTTTGGGCGCTTGGCATTGGACTTTCCAAACCTCTGTATCACCTTCTTTATGTAGCCCTGCTGAGAAATTGACAGAATCTTTTTCACCATGTCTCTAGTAATTTCCATACCTAGAATCTTCTTAGCAGTTGTGAGATCTTTCATCTCAAACTCAGATTGTAGAATTTCCTTGACTTTATTGATCTTAGTCAAGTCTTGACATGCTATGAGAATATCATCCACATAGAGTAACAAATATATAAACTTGTCTTCTCTAAGTGCTTTATAGTAGACACAATTGTCATATTTACTCATGTTAAAACCAGAATTAATCATGAATTCATCGAACCTCCTATTCCACTGCCTTAGGGATTGCTTTAATTCATAGAGAGACTTCTTGAGCAAGCACACCAACTCCCCATCCCCCTTAACTTTAAATCCATGAGGTTGCCTCATATATATGGTTTTTTCGAGCTGTCCATGAAGGAAGGTTGTCTTAACATCCAACTTGCAGTGAGGGCCAAGATCACCTTGATTGAAGTGTGCTTCACTACAAGAGAGAATATTTCAGTCTAATCTACCCCTTCTCTCTGAGTAAATCCTCTTGCTACCAATCTAGCTTTGAACCTTGGCTTTTCCACTCCTGGAATCCCTTCCTTGTACTTAAAAGATCCACTTGCAGCCTACTAATCTCTGTCCCTGAGGCCTTTCAATCAGATCCCATGTTTGATTTTTAAGTAGTGAATGCTTTTCCTCTTTCATTGCATGCTTCCATCGTTCTTTTTCTGGATTGTTAATAGCTTGTTCATAGCTAACAAGTTCATTGATTTCTTCTTCTACATTCAATGCAAAGGCAGTGAGGTTTGCATACCCGTACTTGCTAGGCGGTCTTATGTCCCTCCTTTGTCTATCTCTGGTTAAGCGATTCTCATGCTGATATGATCTTCCTATTGATGGTTGATCTCCATTTGAACCTGTCTCAGCTTGAGTTATGCCAACTTGCTCCAAAGGCTCCACCTCAAATTATATTCCCTCATCAGATGTCTGCTCAACTCCACCATCTAACTGTAGCTTCAGATCTCTATAGAATTGAGTCTCATTAAAAGTTACATCCATGCTGATGATAATCTTGGACTCATCTGTTCTAGCATTCCAGAGTCTGTAGCCATTTACACCATCTTGGTACCCGCAGAAAGATGCACTTCTTTGCCCTTGGTTCCAACTTGCCTTGTTTGATGTGTGTATATGCCACACACCCAAACACTTTCAAGTTTTCATAGTTGCCAGGTTTTCCATACCACATTTCTAATGGTGTTTTAAACTGTATTGCTGATGATGAATATCTATTAATCAAATAACAGGCAGTTTTAATTGCCTCTGCCTAAAAAGTCTTAGGTAGTCCAAATACAGAAAACATACATCTGACCCTTTCTAAAATAGTCTTATTGAACCTCTATGCAAGACCATTTTGTTGTGGAGTACCCTCAACTGTAAGTTGCTTAGCAATCCCCTTTGAACTGCAATATTCTTTGAACAATCGAGAATAGTACTCTAATCCGTTGTCAGTCATAAGCCTTTTAATCCTCTTACCAGTTTGATTCTCAATCAAAACAATCTATTGCTTAAAAGTTTCCAACACTAAATCTTTATTTTTCAAAATGAATACCCACACTCTACGAGAGTAATCATCAATCACAGACATAAAATACCTTCCTCCACCTATAGACACAATTCTTGAAAGCCCATATATATCTGAATGCAGATAGTCCAATGTGCCCTTTGTTCGGTGTTCTCCAGACCTAAACTTGGTTCTACAAGATTTTCCAAACACACAGTGCTCGCAGAAGTCCAATTTCTTCAACTTCTCCTTTTCCAGCACTCCTTGGTTTCCCAATTCTTGAAGCCCTCTCTCACTGACATGTCCCAATATGAAATGCCAGAGTGAGGTGTAGTCTTGAATCACCTTTGACGCCAATGCAACACTTCCAATCACAGTCTTGCCATGGAGCAGATACAAGCCATTTACCCTGGTTCCTTTCATAAACATCATGGAACCCTTTACCACCTTCAATCTCTCATTTTCTGCCTTGAATGTGAATCCCTCTGAGTAAAGCTTTCCTAGAGAAATCAAGTTTCTCTTTAACTCTGGAACATGCCTCACATTTTGGAGCCTCCTTTCACATTCATCTGCCATTAAGATTGAAACAGTGTCAGTTCCTAAGTCCTTGCATGCCTTGTTATTTCCTAAAAGGACCTGCCCAAAATCTTTTCTTGTAATTGGAAATCCATGATTGTGTCATGTGACATGAACACCTTGATTCCAGGACCCATTCATTCCCTGCATCTGTATCTGCCACTGTGAGGATTTTTACGCTTTCATAACCTTTAGATACAACGTCTGCATCTCCATCTAATTGAGTCTTTTCATTGGGCTTCTTCTTATTTCTCTCAGGGCAATTCCGTTTAAAATGCCCCTCCTTGTGGCATATAAAACACTTTAGTTTTCCTTTTGACTTAGATCTTGATGACTAATTCTTGTTGTTCTTGAATTCCCTCTTCTCTGATCTTCCTCTTGTGAATAATCCCTCGTTTGATGAATCCCCAAATCCGTCCCCCTTTGTCTCAGATTTCTTCTTGAGCTCCTTGGACATTAGGGCAATTTGAACTTCCTCCAATGTCAAGCTATCTTGCCCATAAACCAATGTATTTTAGAGGTTTTCATAGGCACTGGGTAGGGATTTCAACAGTAACAATGCTTGATCCTCATCATCGAATTTAATGTCGATATTTTCAAGATCCAAAATTACCTTATTAAATCGTTCAGATGCTCCTCAATGTTCTTCCCGATGGCATTTTGAACGTATACAACCTTTGTTTCAAGAACAACCGGTTAGCCAGCGATTTTGTCATGTAGAGACTTTCGAGCTTTGCCCAGATTGCCGCCGCAGATTTTTCTTTCGAAATCTCCCTCAGAACTTTTCGAGACACAAGATCAACGCGCTATGAGCTTTATCCAGAATTAGCTTCTTCTCTGGCTCCAATAAGGACAACGGCAGATTCTTTTCTCCTCTCAGCGCGTCTTCACGTCCTTGTTGAACTAGGAGTACTTGCATCTTCAACCTTTATAAACCAAAATCGTTCTTTCCTGTGAATTTCTCATTATCAAACTTTGCCGTCGTCATTCTTGATTCTCAGTGCAAGGCTCTGATACCAGTTTGTTACAGTTGTAACCAAAAATCGCAGACTCAGCAAACCAAACTCATAAGAGCTCACACAAGAATGAAGAAGAAAACTGAAAACTTTGGCCCTGTTTGTTTCTGTTTTCATTTCCATTTTTCACAATTTTCGAGATTAAAAACTGAAAACGCAGATGAAAAACGTGTTTGGAGCAAAAATTTTTAAAAAACAAAAACAAAAAAGTTTGTCGTTTTCTGAAAATTTGAAAATGCAAAAAACTCGTTTTCATTTTCTCCTTCGTTTTCCTTTTCTCTTTTCAGCCCACCAGAGACCCGTTTTCATTTTTTTCTGCCATTCTTCAGCCCATATTCCTTTGATTTGAGCTGCACCATTTGATTCCCAGCCGAGCTCCTCCGTTCTTCTCGCCCGATTCGAAAAAAACCACATCTTTGGCCAGCAAAAACGCCTACTCAGACTCACTTTCTCTCTCTTTTCTCAGCTTCAGAAAATGGAGGCCAACACAGAGCAATGGGCTTGGATTTCCTCAAAAAGAAACCGTATTCGCCTCCTTCATGGGCGACCCATCTCAGCCCAATTCCCTCTCACGTCTTCTCTCTCGGTCATGTAAGCCGATTCTTCTCCTTTCCCTTTTTGGTTCTTCGGGTCATCCTCTGATTTTCTTGGCGAACTTTTAAAATGGGTTTTTTGGATTCTTGTTTTCTGAGGCTTTTTTGGAGTGTTGCTATGGTTTGTACTTAATTTTTATACTTGCTGGTGATTTTATTATCAGTTTCCAACTCTAATTCTCAAGTGGAATCTCCCTAATTTGCCCAACAACACTGAAGCCTGGTTGAAGGTATCTGCTTTTGTCTCTTGTGTTATTTCTAGTTTTTCTTAATTGAATTTTATGGTAATATTATCTTGAATTTTACTTTCTGTGAAGTTATATTATTGCCCCCTTGTGGATATTGTGAAGTTATAGTAGCAATTTACAATACACGCAGACAGAGACACACACACATATATTTTGTTTACTTTTGTATATACAGTTTCAATTGTTTTAGTCATATGTTTCAGTAATGTGTGTTTTTTTTTTCTCAAATGAGGTCAAGTTTTGTTGATGAAAGAAAAGTTGTAAATACTATTACATGTTTTCAAAAATTAAACAACCAAACGCAGTTTCAGTTTTTTTTAAAACTGAAATCAATCTCTGAATAAAACTACTAAACGCATTTTCAGAAATAATTCCAAAATGAAAATGAAAACGTTTTCATTTTCATACAAGAAACAAAATCATTTTGGAACCAATTCTAAACACACCCTTTATTTCTGACTTGCTTGAAGAATTACAGACTTGCTTCTTTCTAATTCTCTCACTAGAAATCTCATCGCCTTTTTCTTTCTCTCACTAAGTTTTTTGTCTTCCTGTTACAAAAAATGACTTTACACCACTTACTTAGCTTTATACACCTAAGTCATCACTGACTAACCACTTATAACAATTATTACACTTTGCCCCATTCATTTCACCGATTCGAATTTAGAATTTGAATTTTACTATAGTAAAAAGCTCTCAGAAACAGTTACATCTAACTTTTTTACTACAGTAAAAAGCTCTCACATAAAGTTACATCTCAACTCCAATTAAAAACTCGAATCAGCGAACTAAACGGGCCCTTAGACTATTACAATTAATGTTGTACACTCAATTGTCCACGTTGTAAGGATAAAAATAAATAAATGAAAGATGGATCAATTTGGTATAAAGTGGGAGACCTCTCGTGTGCAGCAACTTTGTTGGTATGATTAAGCACGGCCTGGTTCAACTGCAATGTTGCCCACCCGAGATCTTATTCCAGCAATTCACCATACTAAGCACCAGCCTGGCGGCCTGCAACTTGTTAGTTCATCAAGTGCCGGAGATGGTGCGCCCGTGCTATGGACCGAACCTCTGGACAATGCGGATAAGGATTGGAAATTAGAAGTTTGTTGTTGTCACACTCTGCTGTAGCCTTTGCTTTGAGATTTGCTATTGACAATTGAGTTTGCTGAGAAGTGAAAGATTCTCACTATGATATGATGACCATGAGGAAACCAGCTCTTGAAAACGGTTGGGCAGATGATTGAAATACCATCTCTGTGTACTTGAACGATCTACGACTACATATTTTATAAATTCTAAAAAGAGTTTCCATCAGCTGGCAGTGGTTCATGGAACAACCTAAGAGATGCCATTCACCAATTATGTTATATGGACTAAACGCAAACTCATGGTTGAAAAAAGATTGACGAAGTTATGACACATCAATTGGTTAGAGTATGTAAGACATTGATGTAGAAAGAATAATAAAATTAGTGTTTTAGTCTAATAATTTTATAAAAGGTCTTAGAGTTTGTTCTTTTAGAGTTTAACTTGAGTATAATTTTTGAGTTGAATTTGAGTTATAATTTGAGTTGAACTTGTAACTTGAGTTTGTGTTTAGTTGTGTACATTTGAGTTATTGTTTGAGATAAGAATCTTTTTGAGTTTGTGTTTGAGTGAGTCAAAACTTAAATTTGTATTTAGAGTATTTTAATAAAAACTAAATGCTGATGTAAATTTAATAGGGTATATGAGTCGAGTTTTATTCGTCTTTTCGTTGTCAACGCATAGAAAAAAATCATCTCAATCAGAATTAAAACGAAAAAGTTATAACATTTTTAAGAATAGAAAAAATACTGTTTATTAATTTGAGTTTGAGTTTCTGAACTCGAGTTGAAGGAGAAATTTGAACTCGAGTTTTAGTCATAAACTCGAGTTTGAACTCGAGTTTAAACTCGAGGTTAAAATTAAAAGAACATGAACTCAAATAAAATTATAACTCAAGTTACTTTTTTTTAAGTTTTTTACTCAAAAAAACAAGCCCTTAATGTTTAGTTTAATTGTCGTTTCTTTTACTATTATCTTTTACTATTATGTCATTTAACGTAACTGGTGTTTTGTTATCATTTATGTATATGAATTATAAATAGTATTGTAATTTGAATATTTGAGCATTGAATATTAAATGTATGTTTTCTCTTCAAATTAAGAATTTTCTTTTTGTGAGGGTTTCTTTTGGTAAATTGAAATTGCATGTCCGTCTTCTGCCCGAATTAAGCCCCAAAATCTCATTTCTTCTGTTATGCTGCGTTAATTAGTCAACGTTCACAAATTCTAAATTATAATTTAAAATTATTTTTAATTTACGAATTTTTTTATGAAAAAAATTTAAACACAAATCTTCGTACCAAAACCGTATTAGTATAGCCCTCGGTCTTTCTCAGGGAGGTACGATAGCCATGGATGATGATTGGAGCCACCGGAGTCGCAGTGTTCGAAATGGCCACCAACGACCGTGTTGTCCACCACCTATCCATTCTCCACCACCACCTTCACCCTTTTCTTCACCACACCACCACAACGAGATCCGCAACCAACAAAACCACCACCATCATTCTCATTACCAGCCAAACCACCACCACCGTTAGCACAACCCCCCACCTAGACACAGATCCGAAGCCACAGTCCACCCCACAGTTCCAGAAGCAACATTCACACCATCGCTACCACCGTTGGAGCAAACAGCGGCCTTACCTTGTCGCGATTTTGATGAGATTCGCGGTTATTTCCGCCACAATCTCCATATTTGTTACTCTGCCGGAACCACAGCTCCACTTGAGCGCAACAGTCCAGCCGAACAAGACGCTTCAAACGCTGCTCATAACGGACTCGACGGTGGCGCCTATGGAGGAGAAGTTTGCGGCGGCGATTGTACTCTCCATTTTACCGTTGCCGCCTCAAACGAAGTGGTGGATCCCGGATTCTCAAGCCCAGTTAAGATCGGCAGCGGCGTCGCTCGCCGAGGCGGAGCCCAAATCAACGGCAATCGCGAAGAAATCATCCAACACAGTTCGAATCCTCCTTTCCCACGACCTACAGTGCGTGACGGTGGCGGCCCAGAGCGTGTGGTCATCGGCAACATGATGGTGAAGGTCTGCGACAAAACGGCGTCGTCGCTACCTCTAGAGCTAATTCAACCTGCTATCAAGCCCAATTTTCCTCAGAAGCCCAGGCCCACACTTAAAGGTAAACCTGCAACTCTCATGAATATGATAAAGTTTGTGTCCGATTGGTTTAATTATGAGGAAAGTAAAAATGATTTTGATGACACACTTGGTAATGAAGTTACTAATTACGAGAGTGGTGATCAAGATGACATTGTGGAAGATTTGGATGTGGCCAAACTTCAAAATTTGGGTGAGCAAATTGGTCTTGAAGTTGAAACCCAAGGTGAACCAAAAATTCCAGTTGAGGTAGAAGTTGAAATTACTAATTGTGGGAACCTTGATGAAGAGCTTGTGGATCATTTTAGAGGACGTTTGGTTGGAGGATTTAAATCATAATATGAATTATGATTTATAGTTTGTTACAGTGTTTTCTCTCACAAAAAATACACGTAAATCGAAAATAGTTCTAATTACATGATTCTAATCTATGAACCAAACGGCTCTTTAATGTGGATAAAATTAAAGGAGAAGGTGAAAAAATTGATTTCATAGCGTTGTTGAAATTCTAAATGGGCCAATTAAGGATTTTACCGATTCGAGTTTATAATTCGAGTTTTGTTATAATAAAAAGCTCTCAGAAACAGTCATATCTAACTTTTTTATTACAGTAAAAAATTCTCACATAAAGTCGAATTAACTTTTAATCTCAACTCGAATTAAAAACTCGAATCGACAAACTAAACGAGCCTTAAAGGAGTGAGGTAATGTCAATGGTGTGTATTTTTAGTATTTTTCGCATTTTGTTGGAGCATCGTTTTGATTCCGTTATGGCTTTGGGATGTGTTACGGAGAATTCAATCAAGGTCTATCATTCTCATAAGCCGAAGAGGGGTTGTTTCCACTAGTGGTTCTACTTGCTACATTATGTTCATCTTCCGCGTCCTTCTACCAAACTCGAGATCGAGTTCTTTTCAAAGAAGGTGAACTGATGTAAGAAGAATAATAAAATTAGTGTATTAGTCTAATAATTTTATAAAAAATCTTAATATCTAGTTTAATTGTCATTTCTTTTATTATTATGTCATTTAGCATAGTTGGTATTCTATTATCGTTTTTTTACGTGAACTAAAAATAGCCACATTACTAATTGTAATAGAAGATTTTTGAATATTTGAGCATTGAATACTAAATTTGTGCTCTCTCTTCAAATTGAGGATTTTCTCTTTGTGAGATTTTTTAGGTAGATTAAGATTGCATGTTTCGTCTTTTGTCCGAATTAGGCCGATAAAATCCCGTTTTTTTTCCATTCCGCTGTATCAGATATTGAGACATCTAAGAGCTGCATAAATGAATTCTGCCTAGGGCTGCTATTGAAGGCCACATTAACCGAATAGGAAGCAAGTTTCTTGCTGCCGACAGTTTTAAGGTGGCCCGCAAGTGGTTAGAAGTGAACCGGGAGATGGAGAGGGAATACTTGAGCCTGTCCAACAATCCAGCCATGAAATCCCGCTGTTCTGGAGATTTGGTGAAGAGAAGGGCACTCCAAAGATAGGCGCCATAGAGCATTTCTCCCGTGGTGCTTATTGGAGTCCTCTGGAACGCACTGCGGTCTAATTAAACAATCTGAAATGGGGTGAAGAAGATTGGGCGTACCCTGCCATGTCGAGGTTTTTACTCTATTGTCATCTTTGTTCCCTTTTTTTATTATTATTATTTATTTATGTGCTTTAACTTGCTTTCCGCCGAAGGGAAATTTTATAAATTTAGTGTTGTTTGCATTGCATTATGGTTAATTTCGACAGATAATGCACATTTTCCAGAACTCATCTATTAACATAGTAAATGCGAGAGTTATCTATTTTTCATGTCTGCATACGTACACGCTACTTCCCCTCTATTATAAATGGCATTTTTTTTTTTTTTTTTTGTAAATTAATTATCTGTTCATTATAGGAATATCGAATTAAGAGTGCTAGGGTTATTAAAAAATTGTACACCACTCAACTAGTTATATATGCCGTAACTAGTAAGTATGCAATTAAGATTTTTTACTTTCACATGCATTTAATATATATATATATATATATATATATATCTCCCACAACTCATCTAGTTATAACCGTGGAAGGCAAAAACTTTTGTCTACATATTCTACAATTAAGGTCAAATTTTGTTTGCCGTTTGCTTCTCTCTCTCTACCTTAACTACCTATCTAGGTAGTAATATCCTATTAAGATTGAACAAGTGAAAGTCCAACAAACCTGTAGAATTTTGGGAGAAAATATTTATTCTTATTAATCTTTCTGTAACCGGAAAAATAAAATAGTTATATAGAAGAGATTGAGAATCTAATCTTCTTTTAAATAAACTCTAAATCCTATCTTTAACAATCCTTATCCTATACTACAAAATTTAAACTCTAGAATTTAAATCTTATTGATAATGCATAAACTATCACTAAACCTATCTAATCCTATATTTCTGACACTTCTCCTCAAGTTAGAGCATAGATATTTATCATACCCAACTTGCTTGTCAAAAAATCAAAATGAGACCGTAGAAGCCCCTTAGTCAAGATATCAGCTATCTGCTATGTAGTTGGAACAAACAGCAAGCAGATGATTCCCGCTTCAAGTTTCTTTTTAATGAAATGCCTGTCAGTCTCAATGTGCTTTGTTCGTTCATGTTGTACGGGGTTATGAGCAATTGCTAATGGCAGCTTTGTTGTCGCAATAAAGTTTCATTGGACTCTCAATCGGCCTCCGTAATTCATCAAGAATCCGCTTCAACCACAGAATTTCACATATTCCATGAGCCATTGATCTGAACTCAGCCTCAACACTACTCCTTCCCACAACACTTTGCTGCTTGCTTCGCCACGTAACTAAGTTACCCCGGACAAATGTACAGTACCCAGATGTAGATCTTCTAGCTGTAATAGATCCAGCCCAATCAACATTGGTGTAGACTTCAATACCTCGCTGGTCATTTTTCTTGAAGAACAATCCTTTCCCAGGGGTACTCTTCAGATATCTCAAGATTCGGTGGACCGCCTCAAGATGCTCTTCTTATGGAGAGTGCATAAATTGACTCACGACGCTGACATCAAATGCAATGTTTGGGCGAGTATGTGACAGATATATTAGTTTCCCGACCAGCTTTTGGAATCTTACTGTGTCCACCGGTGTTCCTTTTTCTCTTTCTCCAAGCTTTAGGTTCAGCTCTATTGGTGTTTCAGCTGGTCTGCAACCACTCATCCCAGTCTCTTTTAGGAGATCAAGAACATACTTTCGTTGAAAGACGGCTATGCCCTTCTTGGATCTTGCGATTTCCATGCCAAGGAAGTATCTCAATTGTCCCAAGTCTTTAATCTCAAACTCAGAAGTTGATTACGCCCAAACGTGTACAAAATAAGCGGTCAATTGTAGCACATTTAGGACGGTCGATCCCACGAGGAAGTGACAAAATAAACAAGAAACGATTAGCAAATAAAAAGTGTCAGGAGATAAATAATATAATTAAAATAAAAGAGAATGGAATTTTTGTTGAGAAGTTTAAGTGTAAGAAAAATATAGGAGAAAATTATATAATTAAAACCGGTAAGGCGTCGAGATTCCCCTATATGCTTGGTTCACCCGAATGGATTTTGATCCTTGAGATTACTCAATTGAAAGTTTCACATCCCAAACTAACAATCGAAAAATATATATTTAAAGAACATGTGAATTAAAATTTATTCGAGTGAGTAAAATTCTTACGTTTAGTATTAGGAAAAATTATCTTATGAGAAATCTAAAAGCGACAATATAACGTTGACAATATTGCAGTAAAAGACTACTCACAAAACAATACCTACCAATATATAATATCATGCAACAATTACATAAAAAGAGCTTGACTAGATTTATATAAAAGTTGACAATAAAATATATCAATATGAGAAATTAGAAGAAGATAGAAGAAAATTAATCACTCAAATATATAAACTTTCGAGAACAAATAGAGAATCAAAATCCACTCAAGATCACTTCAAATATAGGTGTCTCTCTAACCTCACCAAAGAGAAAAAGATGTCTAAACTTAGGCTAAAAATCAACAACACTAATCACCTTGACAATGGCCCTATTTATAGAGTTTTTGGGCCATGTAAAAACGTTGTAATCAGCAAATAAAATGTAAAGGGACGTTTTATCCATAAATTGGATTTACAAGGCTTTAATCTGAGATTGAATGTTGAAACCATCCAACGGAACCAAAACGGATCGCTGGCTAAAGAATCCCAACGGGTGGGACATGTGTCGCGCTGTGATTCGCGGAAATGAAGAAATGGGCGACAGCTGCATGCGTTTGGACGCGTGGCGCGTTGTAAGTGGGAGCTTCTGCACTACCGGGGCCCACGCGGAGATTGGATAGAAAAACGCCTGACGCGCGAGTGGAAGGAACTCGCCCGGGGGAGAGGAGTTGCGTGCCAAGCGCGCGTGTGTGAGGGAGCATCTGGGCCCCACGGGACGCGTGGCGAGAGGCGGTTGGAGAGCTGTTGGATGGCGGGACCCACGCGAAAGTGGATGGTAAAGTGGTTGACGTGCGTGTGGAGTGAACTCGCTCGAGGGAACGATCCGTGCGCCCCAAGCGCGCGTACGCGTGGGGACAGCTGGGTCCCACGCGGCTGAAGTACATCAAAAAAATGACATGTGGCGTCTTAAGGTACTGGCACGGCTCGGCGGACAGCTGCTGATGAGCTTCGTTTCCATTTTCTTTAGTTTTGGCCCAAATGTCTTATTTCCCTATAAACCTACAAAACAAATTAAATTAAATTAAAATCAAATATTTTCACAAAATATTAATTCTACGAAAATATTTAATTAAAACTTAATTTATTTAGCAATTATGAACAATTTAGGTGCATTTTCATGCACTTATCACAACCCCCAACCAGCTTATTGCTAGTCCCTAGCAATTCAAGCGAAAGAAAAATTATGTCAAACTGAAAATTCAAATTAAAACTAGCAAAATCACCTAAGCAATCAAACAAAACATTAGTAAGTCATCAGAAAATGCTATCAAAACTACTTCATTCATAACTCCAGAGTCGTGTGTGTGTGCACCAAACCATATCTCTCTTACCACAGTCCATAACACAAATAGCATCGAAACATTCACCAAGAAAAAGCCTCAACTCCATTTACCTCACGGGTGTCAGAAATGTTTTAATGCAAAGGGTTTTCACTCATGGAGTTGGAAGTCAATCAATCAATGCTCAAGTGAGAGAAGGCAATTTAAGGACAAGCCAATAAACGAACATTGATCAAATGATAGGCAAATCAAAAATTTGGAACAACCCATCACTCAAACAATAAACAAGCTTTCGGGATTTCATTCTGGTCAAAAGGAAAATCTCATAAATAAAGAGCCGAAAAATACAAACAAATATACACAAACTTTTTTCTCCTTTTCTTTTTTTCTTTTTTTGTTTTTTTTCTTTTGAGGCAAGAGACAACATATATTTGACGAAGCTGATGTAGTAAGGCATTCTTTTGACTGACTGTTATGCAGCACAAGACATGAGTGCAACCAAACTACATAAACATTGATGATAAAATGATGCTCTTGTTCTCTTTTTTTTTTTCTTTTTTTTCGTGGTTGTTTTTTTTTTCTTTTTTTTTTGAAGAAAATTAAAAGAAAAATGATAAATATTTATAATACATGGCTCAATTCTAAAATTATTCCTAACCAAAAATCACCCCTTAAGTAAATGTCACAAGTCAAGTAATGGTGCTCCATTAATGAATCAACCAACTCAAAAGATCAATAAAAGTTCAAAAAGTTATTTTCTCAACTCACAACTCACCAAAAATGAAAAACTTAAACTCAAGAATTTTTCTCAACTAGATGTGTTAACAACCATCTTACCACAAGGGTTTGGCATGTGCTAAAAAATAACTCTGAAAATCATTTCTTGGTAATTAAGATAGCAAAAACTGACTCAAACCGAACATTTCGAAATCATACCCAGATAATCTCGCAAAAATTTTGACCCAAAATAATAACAAGACAAAAATTAATCTCACGCATGAATATGCTCACCACCCCCAACCCAAAATCAGACAGTGTCCTCAATGTTTAAAAATATATGCAATATGAAGAAGACAGGAAAAGAAAACACCTGGATGATGAACATTGGAACAAAGCCAAGCCTCTTGAATTGATTCGTCAAAATACACAAACAAATATGAAATCACACAAAAACAAACTGTAAATAAAAGCACGCAAAACACACCAATCGAAATAAAGAAACAAAAATATGATACAAAAGTGTGGAAACAAACTCCTCAAGGTTGGCCCTTTGGGTTTGACTGAGTTTGTGAAGGGAACTTGCCGCGTTCTTGAACAGTCAAAGCTCCAGTCAACTTCGTGATTTGACTCTTCATTTCTTTACTTTCTTCCACCATTTGCGTGAATAGTGACTCAAACTTCTAATTCGTCTTACTATGCGCTTCCATGAAAGATTGCAAAGTGTTCTCAAGAGAACTCCTTGGCTGTTGCGAATTGTATTGAGGTGCAGAATACGCCTTTGGTGGTTGCGGCTGTTGCTCAGTTCTCCATTGTCCTCCTGATAGTTGCGCTTGGTTGGAATCTTTCCAACTGAAATTTGGATGGTTCCTCTAGCCAGGATTATATGTGTTAGAGAAAGGTTTGTTGTATGTCCCTAAGGTATTGCATTGCTCCTCGTAAACCCCTCTCATTTCATTGTAAGCAGGGCAATCCTTAACTAGATGCTCCACCCCTCCACAAAC